TGCCAACACTGACTACAATAACTCAGGCATCTAGTGAACCTTCACCAGCACAACTCAAAGAAGGGACACACACACAAACTCTACTACCAAAAAAACAATAAGAATAACCGGAGTAAACAACAATTGGTCATTAATATCACTTAATATTAATGGTCTCAATTCACCTATAAAAAGGCACAGGCTAAGAGATTGGATACGAAAACAGGATCCAACATTCTGCTGTTTGCAAGAAACACATCTCAACCACAAAGACAGGCATCTACTCAGAGTAAAAGGTTGGGAAAAGGTCTTTCAAGCAAATGGTCCTAAGAAAAAAGCAGGTGTGGCCGTACTAATTTCCAACAAAACGGACTTCAAACTAAAATCAATCAGAAGAGATCGAGAAGGACACTTTATACTCATAACAGGAACAATTCATCAGGATGACATCTCAATTCTGAATATCTATGCCCCTAATATAAAAGCACCCACTTATATAAAAGAAATATTACTAGAACTCAAGGCAGACATCAAACCACACACACTAATAGTAGGAGACTTCAACACACCTCTCTCTCCAATGGACAGGTCAATCAGACAGAAACCTAATAGAGAATTAAGAGAATTACTGGAGGTAATGAAACAAATGGACTTAACAGACATCTATAGAACACTCCACCCAAATAGGAAAGAATATACCTTCTTCTCTGCAGCTCATGGAACCTTCTCAAAAATTGACCATATACTCGGAAACAAAGGAAGCCTCCACAGATACAAAAGAATATCAGTGTCCACCTGTGTCTTATCAGATCACCACGGATTAAAGTTAGAAGGCAACAACAATGCTGCCCCCAGAAAGCCGACAAACTCATGGAAACTGAACAATCAACTACTGAACCACACCTGGGTGAAGGAAGAAATTAAGAAGGAAATTAAAGTCTTCCTTGAATTTAATGAAAATAAAGAGACAACATACTCAAACCTATGGGACACGATGAAAGCAGTGCTAAGAGGAAAGTTCATAGCACTAAGTGCCCACTTAAAGAAAACGGAGAAAGCATACATTGGGGACTTAACAGCACACCTGAAAGCTTTAGAAAAAAAAGAAGCAGATGTGCCCAGAAGGAGTAGAAGACTGGAAATAATCAAACTGAGGGCAGAAATCAACAAAATAGAAACACAGAAAACAGTCCAAAGAATCAATGAAACAAAAAGTTGGTTCTTGGAGAAAATCAACAAGATAGACAAACCCCTATCCAAACTAATTAAACAACAGAGGGAGAACACGCAAATAAATAAGATCAGAAATGAAAAGGGGGACATAACCACAGACACAGAGGAAATTCAGAGAATCATTAGATCTTACTACAGGAGCCTGTATGCCACAAAACTGGAAAATACAAAAGAAATGGACATCTTTTTAGATAAGTACCATATACCAAAGCTAAACCAAGACCAGGTGAAAGATCTAAATAGACCTGTTAGTCGCGAAGAACTTGAAGCAGTTATCAAAAATCTGCCCTCTAAAAAAAGCCCAGGACCAGATGGTTTCAATGCAGAATTCTACCAGAACTTCCAAGAAGAGCTAATACCTATTCTCCTTAATGTATTTCACAGTATAGAAACAGAAAAGTCATTGCCAAATTCCTTTTATGAAGCTACAGTTACCCTGATACCAAAACCACACAAAGACCCAACCAAGAAAGAGAACTACAGGCCTATCTCACTCATGAATATCGACGCAAAAATTCTTAATAAAATACTGGCAAACCGAATTCAAGAACACATTAGAAAAATTATCCATTATGATCAAGTAGGCTTCATCCCAGAGATGCAGGGCTGGTTCAACATACGCAAATCTATCAATGTAATCCACCATATAAATAAAATGAAAGAAAAAAACCATATGATCATTTCATTAGATGCTGAAAAAGCATTCGACAAAATCCAACACCCCTTTATGATAAAGGTATTGGAGAGACTAGGGATACAAGGGTCATACCTAAATATAATAAAAGCTATTTACAGCAAACCGACAGCTAACATTAAATTAAACGGAGAAAAACTCAAAGCCATCCCACTAAAATCAGGAACAAGACAAGGATGTCCACTCTCTCCATACCTCTTCAATATAGTGCTTGAAGTTCTAGCAATAGCAATAAGACAACATAAGGGGATCAAAGGGATTCGTATTGGAAAGGAAGAAGTTAAGCTTTCGTTATTTGCAGATGATATGATAGTATACATAAGCGACCCCAAAAACTCTACCAAAGAACTCCTACAGCTGATAAACACCTTCAGTAATGTGGCAGGATACAAGATCAACTCGAAAAAATCAGTTGCCTTCCTATACAGTAAGGATAAGGAAACAGAGAGGGAAATCAGAGAAGCATCACCTTTCATGATAGCCACAAAGAGCATAAAATATCTTGGGGTAACCCTGACCAAGGAAGTGAAAGATCTATATGACAAGAACTTTAAGACTTTGAAGAACGAAATAGAAGAAGACACCAGAAAATGGAAGGATCTCCCTTGCTCTTGGATTGGGAGGATCAACATAGTAAAAATGGCAATTCTTCCAAAAGCAATATATAGATTCAATGCAATCCCCATCAAAATCCCATCAAAATTCTTCACAGATCTGGAGAAGACAATAATCAACTTTATATGGAAAAATAAAAAACCCAGGATAGCCAAAACAATCTTATACAATAAAGGAACGTCTGGAGGCATTACCATCCCTGACTTCAAACTCTATTACAGAGCTACAGTATTAAAAACAGCTTGGTATTGGCATAAAAACAGAGAAGTCGACCAATGGAACCGTATAGAAGACCCTGACTTTAATCCACAAACCTATGAGCAACTGATTTTCGATAAAGGAGCTAAAACTATACAATGGAAAAAAGAGAGCATCTTCAACAAATTGTGCTGGCAAAACTGGATTTCAATCTGTACAAAAATGAAAATAGATCCATGTCTGTCACCATGCACAAAACTCAAGTCCAAGTGGATTAAAGACCTCAATATCAGTCTGAACACACTGAACCTGATAGGAGAGAAAGTGGGAACTACACTACAACAAGTGGGCACAGGAGACCGCTTCCTACGTATAACATCAGCAGCACAGACAGTAAGGGCCTCATTGAATAAATGGGACCTCATGAGACTGAGAAGCTTCTGTAAAGCAAAGGACACTGTCGCTAAGACAGAAAGGCAACCCACTGACTGGGAGAAGATCTTCACCAACCCCGCAACTGACAAAGGTCTGATCTCCAAAATATATAAAGAACTTAAGAAACTAGACTGTAAAAGGCTAATCAACCCAATTATAAAATGGGGCACTGAGCTGAACAGAGATCTCTCAACAGAAGAAGTTCAAATGGCCAAAAGACACCTAAGGTCATGCTCAACTTCCTTAGCGATCAGGGAAATGCAAATCAAGACAACTTTAAGATACCATCTTACACCTGTCAGAATGGCTAAAATCAAAAACACCAATGATAGCCTATGCTGGAGAGGTTGTGGAGAAAGGGGTACACTTATCCATTGCTGGTGGGAATGCAAACTTGTACAACCACTCTGGAAAGCAGTGTGGCGGTTTCTCAGAAAATTTGGGATCAACCTACCCATGGACCCAGCAATACCACTCTTGGGAATATACCCAAGAGAGGCCTTATCATGCAACAAAAATATATGCTCTACTATGTTCATAGCAGCATTGTTTGTAATAGCCAGAACCTGGAAACAACCTAGATGCCCCTCAATTGAAGAATGGATGAAGAAAGTATGGAATATATACATATTAGAGTACTACTCAGCAGTAAAAAACAAGGACTTCTTGAAGTTTGCAGGCAAATGGATGGAAATAGAAAACACTATCCTGAGTGAGGTAAGCCAGACCCAAAAAGAGGAACATGGGATGTTCTCACTCATATTTGGTTTCTAGCCATAAATAAAGGACATTGAGCCTACAATTCGGGTTCTTAGAGAAGCTAAAGAAGAAGGAGAACCCAAAGAAAAACATATAGGCATCCTCCTGAATATTAACCTTCATCAGGCGATGAAAGGAGACAGAGACAGAGACCCACATTGGAGCACCGGACTGAAATCTCAAGGTCCAAATCAGGAGCAGAAGGAGAGCGAACATGAGCAAGGAACTCAGGACTGCGAGGGGTGCACCCACACACTGAGACAATGGAGATGCTCTATCGGGAACTCACCAAGGCCAGCTGACCTGGGTCTGAAAAAGCCTGGGTTAAAACCGGTCTCACTGAACATAGCGGACAATGAGGACTACTAAGACATCAAGAACAGTGGCAATGGGTCTTTGATCCTACTGCATGTAGTGGCTTTGTGGGAGCCTAGGCAGTTTGGATGCTCACCTTACGAGACCTGGATGGAGGAGGGTTTTCCTCGGACTTCCCACGGGACGGAGAGTCCTGATTGCTCTTTGGGCTGAAGAGGGAGGGGGAACGTATTGGGGGAGGGGGAGGGAAAGGGGAGGCGGAGGTGGGGAAGAGACTGAAATATTTAATAAATAAATAAAGAAAGAAAGAAAAATTAAAAAAAACCATGTTGATTCCTGCAGTCCTGGCAAATGCCAAAGATCATATTGATATCTATGATCCATGCTGCTGCTGGCTGCTATGTTCATGGAAGTTTCTTTTGTTGTGGTATGGATGACTGCAAACATAACTGAGAATGAGAGACATTGAAGTTTTTTGTGCTAACCCCTGCTCCACTCCCCACCCCCCAAAACAACAACCAAACAGTCCAGACAGAAAGCTGTTGAAAAGAATCCTTACTTCTGGCAGGGGGGTTGAGGCTGGGAAAGGACTCAATTTTACTTAAGGGACTGACCACCGGGAATTGGACCATGCTCCAATGAGTATATGAACAACACTTGGTATTGTTTATTTATTTGCTTTCTTTCTTCTTCTTCTTCTTCTTCTTCTTCTTCTTCTTCTTCTTCTTCTTCTTCTTCTTCTTCTTCTTCTTTTTTCTTCTCCTTCTCCTTCTCCTTCTCCTCCTCCTCCTCCTCCTCCTCCTCCTCCTCCTCCTGCTCCTGCTCCTCCTTCTTCTTCTTTTGTAGTGGGGGCATGAGGATTGACCTGGAAGGAATAAGAAGTGTTCAGGGTACATTGTATGAAATTACCAAATGATTAATACAAATATTATATTGGACAAAATTGAGTTGAAGATTTAATTGAAGATTTTCAAAGACTGGGTGCCTTGTATATGACTTAAACATACTGGGATGAAACTTGAACTGCCTAATTTTAGACCACTTTCCCAGTTAGTTCTTATTTCCTCAAGGGTCACCTCGCCACATCTCTGAATGCCAAAGTAGTTTACATTTCAGAGGGGTGCTTTGAGAATTAAGTTACTAACGACAAATGTGTTTTGAAAACTACCAGACTTGACAACGGTAAGAGTCACTGATCATTCTGCACATATGACATTAACGGCAAACTCTGTCCACAAAATCAGTATCTATCCACCTGAAAAAAAGTATGACTGATTCCTGAAACAAATATTTCATGATATTAGACACAAAGCAACACTTCACTAGGATCTGCAAGAGATAATAAAAAACAACACAAGCCCTGAAGTTTCCTGAGGAGTGTTTTAGGTTATGCAGTATAGACGGGGGACCCAAAACAGATTTCCTGAAATAGAGTTGGTAGAGATGGGTTTCTTGGAGGCCCAAGTATCTAAGATAAAAGACCCAAGCTAGACAGACAGAGCTCTGATTTGGTGGAAGCTCTACATTCTTCTTCTCAGAGATTCAAGAAAGATGCCTGAAACCAGGAATCCCTACAAGCAGAATTAGAGATGGTGATTTCTGAAGTTTAAACAGAGCTTGAAACTTTCTTATCCAAAGAACAACCCCCCCCCAAAGAAAACATAACTCTTGGGGCATTAGACTGAGTTCTCAAATGCCCCAATCTCTATCAAAGAAAAAATGTGGGTTCAGACAGTGCTACCTGATGTGGCCGAATTAAACTGAGAAGAAATACCCATGCTTGATGAGTGTATCTGTTTACATCTTTTGCCCATCTCTTTTTCGGTTGAGATTGTTTTCTACTACTGAGTTTTTCAGAATTCTGTAGATAGTTTTGATATACGTTCTTACTCAGATATGCGCTTTGTAACTGACTTTTCATATTTCATTTTCTGAACAATTTTTGCAAAGGGCAAAAGTTCTTATCTTGATACATTTCAACTTGTCAGTGCGCATACACAAATATTCATTGCATCTTATTTGTAATAGTCAAAAACTATAAATAATGCAAATGTTGCTAGCAAGTTTATATGTAACTAAACTCGGATATATTCATACAGTGGAACACTGGTTAGTAATGCAAAGAAAGGAGATACTTGCATACACAGAGTGGATACATTTCAAAATAATTATGCGAAGTGAAAGAAGCCAGACTCCCTTCTCCTCCAACACAAAGCATATGTAGGATGTGATTCCATTTATATATAACTCTAGAAAATATAAGCTTGCATGAGGTGACAAGAAGCAGACCTGTATCCTGGGAAGAGAGATTGGATACGGGAGCAGAACTCAGTCATAAACAATCTATGTAAGGGTATGCTACGAGTTGGTAGATACTTTTATTATCTCCATGGTGATTATTTCATAATGACATTGCATGAAAATTTGTATATATTTAAAACCAGACTATGTGCTATAACTATAATATGTGCTGTTTATTGTGTGTGAATAATCCCACAATTAAGCTCTGAAGTCAGTTACTCAGACATTCTAATCATAAAAGTCAGATACAATGAACGATGAAAAACCATGCTAACCTCAGATTTCCCCATGGCCATATTTTACTTTATTGTATAAGTGATTTTATGAAATAAGCTGACAGACATTAAAAGTACGTAAGCACCCCAAGCTCACAGACTCCACGAAGAGTTCTCTGAAAGAACAAATAAGAGTTTACAAATTACTGTGAGTGTGCTACCTGGTCCACATACTCCAGATTGATCCCAGGACACATCCCTGGGCCCTGGTCTTGATCTGGTCTGAGTTTTGGAAAACAGTGTTCCCCCCCCCATGATGGCATATTTCTACTTAGAACAAAACAAACCCCAACTCCCACACCTCCCTGGGTAGAGAGGAGTCAGAAAAGTCTCTCCTATAGATGAGGTTCTTCCTCACCTGGAGGTCAAATCTTCCGGAAAGGAACCACATCTATGAAATTCAGTTCAAGTAAGTTAAGGCCTAGCAGAGTCACAGTAGTGCTAGGCAGAGACAGTCACAACCCAAACAGCTCTATTTGATCTATTGGATGCTAAAACGAAGTTGGTGTGATTGAGTCGTACCATCTGAGAAAGCAAGAGCACTATGACAACTGTGCAGATACTGACGCCGCACGCCCAAGTCAATAGCTCACAGCTTTTTTTTTTTTTTTAACGCTTCCATTGGTTTACTGATTTCTTCCTGGATGAAATCCAAGCACATCTGCATGGAAGGTAAAGCCTTTGCCTCAGCTCTCCGCCAGTCTGCCAGCCTGTTTCCTGCATGATCTTTCCAGTCAGTCATAGTGGAGGGTTTCCAGATTTCACATGTGCTGAGTCTTCTGTCCCAACACCTGTGCCATTTCACTCTTCCGTAATACTTTAGTCCTTCATAAGCCCCCAAAGGAATGATGTCATGGATTTGAAAGTTCAGCACCCTAAAACAGTGGCATTTTATGGGCTGCTGGGCAACACATAATGTCCCTGAGAGAGAAAGAACAACCGGGAAGAGTTAGATTCACACTACGAAGTAGTTTTTCAGTGGTGAAACTTAGCAGTAGAACATCGATTGATGGATTGTCACATGCAACATATTACATTTTATCATAAAGTGCAGACTGAGACAGGACTTTGTGAATAAAAATTTAAGCTATAATTTCGCCTTTTCAAGGGCCACAATGAATCTAAACCAGGCTATTTGGGGGAAACCAAGTTTTGGTATTTAGTACATGAGTGCTTGTATTTTTCAATTACAACTTTATTAAAAGTATAAAACAGTTTAGAGTAAGACACTCAGACATTTGCAGACCTTAAAGCTGTCTTGCACTTGGCTTGAAAATTACGGCCTTACGTTAGAGGAACAGGCTTAAACTGGAATCAATGGGCATTCAGGGAATTGAGCAGTGTTCCTTGCTTTAAGCCCAGGTCTTTCCAGTTTTGAAAGTCTGCGCTCTTTCCATTGCATCACTGCTCCCCAGCTTTGCAGGCTCGCCCTGAGGAGTTGCAGACAGGCATTTGCACAGACCAGAATCTCTAATTAACAGACCAGAAAATGCGCTGGAGGAGGCAGAGAGCAGAGGCCAGACTACTCCACAGTCTGTAAGCTCCACACTCCTGTGAGGCGTGCCAAGCCTAGGCAAAAGCTACCTTCCAGGGAATCATTTGCTGAGGCCACAATTAACTGGACTTGGGCAGCTTAAGAGTGATAACAAGGGCAGGTATTTGACCTCACCCAATTACTTTCAGGAACAGCCGGTATCAAATGCATCTGTGAGGTACCTTCACTTCAATAGAAGCAGAGAGCTTCTAAATGGAGTGATTGTACGCAAGCTTAGAGGAAATCTGAGCCACTGCCAAACCTCAGGAGGATAACAGGCATCTCAGCACAGCCACTGGAGCTATGCAAGGCTAATGCACAGATGCTGCAGGCTTGAGCCTGGCTAAAAACACAGGGAGGTTGCATGGTATATTAAAGTCACTGAATTTTACAGCTAACATCTGGCCTTGAGGACAGCTGTGGTCAGATTTAGTGAAAGACTCCAGTGAAAAACAGTCAAGTCAAATATTTGAGCCTCTCCCATTTGCACTAAAGCAATTTGTTAATCGGTCAATCTGCACTGGGACTAATGTTTACTGGTTTCATTTTACTCCAGGCAAGAATAAACTTCACAAAGGGGGGTTAGACAGTATCCTGTGTGTCTCATGACAGTCTTATTCAAAAAGCACCGTCTTTTCTGTGTGGAGAAATGTGTATTTTATTTTTTAAGAAATTACAATTTTTAAAATTTATGGTTATTCTTGAGAATTTCATAGATGCAGACAATGAAATATGATCACATGTACCCCTGTGTTCCCTTTTCAATGCCCCTCCATAACACTCCCCCAACCTCGTGTCCTTTTCTTCCCTGGATAATCCATTAAGTTCTGTTAGTGTTGCCCATACGTGCATGGGTATATGGTCACCCACTGGGACAGGAGACATCTACCAGTGGGCACATCATTTATAAGCAATAATTCTTCACCCTCCAAAGCCAGCCACTGCCACAGCTCCTCAGTAAGGGGTTGGGCCTGGACTTTTCCTTTAACAGAGCTCAGGTTCCAATCACAGGAGCAATGTAGACAGAGAGAAAAGCGGGTGTGAGCGATCTTCATCTAAGCCAGTTCCCAGAGCTTTAAGATATTTGAACAAACCATTTATTTGGCACAAATATAAATTCATAGCATACTGCATGCATGCAGACAGCTGAGGATCTTATGCCGTGGGGAAGAGAGCTGCAGGTCACAGTGTGTTTTGGACTCTGCAGTCTGTTTCTAATCTCTCAGAAAACACAACATGGATTTAATGTGACCCCGAAGAGCATAAGGAAAACAGGGCTTGCCCTCTCACCCCCCATTTGAAGCTTGTTGAATTTCCCCAACCACATTTGAAATGAATCAAGATGGTTAACAGCTGCCTCGCTTATTAGAAAAACTCTCATTTTAATGATAAATAAACACTTTGTCCAGGGAAAGATTACAAATTCTACCAATCCAAATGTTTGTGTTTCTTGAGCAACTTAGTCATTAGGCCAGAGGCACGAAGCATATTCTAAAACACCGCCCTAGAATCTATCTGTAGACAAAGAGTGAGGAGCAATTAGCTAACACATTGTAGATATCTTCCCATCCTCAAGCGCTAGCTGAGTCATCCACTGTGGAAAATGTTGGGTGTCCTCGACTTTTCCCAGGTGCCCACAGCTACATGGTACAAGGGGCTGGGAGCACACCTCCACCAGCATCTCCTTATGGCTGGGACTTGGAAGGGACCACCAAAACCATTTCATGGTTTTCGGTAAGAGCATTTTCTGGTATC